TGATTGAAGCCTGGACATAGTAGGAAGACATTGTAATGAAATTCTACCTCAAGTAAGTTTTATTGGCTCTCAGCAAGGTAAACAGGCCTATATCTTCACTATATTAAGCGCATTATTATCACAAATTAAATGCGGACACAATAGACACGTGCTAAATTTCCAAGTGTTTCCAAGACCATGCAATCACAATAACGGACCATTTTCCATGTCTTTCAATTTTCAGAACATTCCCAGAGCTGAAAAAATGTCATATTAACATTCCAGCAGTTTCCAGATTTTCCAAGACCCTCCCCCTACAGACCCTGCACCTACTTTTGATAGCTAAATATAGTGGTATAATTCACTTACCTTGAGTAACTGCGAATTCTGTTCCTTGATGCAGGCGATGGCCTTATTATTGGGCGAGGGCGTGCTAAGTGAATTAGATGCAGACTTCGAAGGTGGGGTCTTTCTTAGTGCCAGATTCATGTGCTGCGGGAAATCCTAAATACACATACACAATTAACACCACGTTAATATACAGTACTGCACACCCCTTCAAATATTACTACCCCCACTGCTCTTTAATGAGAAAATATTCTATCAGGATTATGTAACGACAAGTAAGTAGTATTACTTAGTCATGATTCTATCAAACGTTATATTACTTATTGTAACCTACGCAAAGCAGGCATGCAAGCCTGATACTGTCATCTGCAATTCGATGTGCCAGGTAATTAATGAATCCTTAATTATACTTTATCAATTAATGAAGGTAAGTAATGAATATTTACCTTGTCTGTACTTTGTACGAGCGCTGCAAGATGCTGGTTTATCTCCAATATGCGCGCCCATTGAAAGTTGAGCCTGTCCTGGTATGACTCAGAAAGGCAATCCTGCCAAAAATCAATAATCAATAATCAATACAAAATACATGCATGCACACTCATACGCGCATACGCACGATTGATTGGTGTATTGGAAGCTGAAATGAAAATTCGGAACACGAACTATAAATATACAACATCTATAATTACTTAACAAATAACGAAATCGAAAATGTTACGCAACTGAACACAAACCACGAATAACTACTTTTCTGGTATTAATTAAATAATTAATTCCGTAAATTCGTGAACACATTCCTATAAGTTATACAAGTAAGTTATGCAAGTACTCACACCAGCACCCGTGGCTCCGAGCTGTTTCTGTCTCTCCTGTACGTCTACCACCTGCAGGTGGTACCAGTCACGTGCCTTCTCTATTGCCTCTAGTCCCTGGAAGAGCATCACCTTCTCCTGTTCAAGCTGTTTCATTCGCTTAACCTGCAGAGAAGAATGCGCGGTGGTGTTAAGAGTCGGGCTGTTAGAGTCCCAGGGCCGTAGGCTGAGCAAATTCCTGGGGGGGGAGGGGGGCAAAATTTCAACTGTGTAATGATGAGCAACGGGCGCAGCTCTTGATCGACGTCTATAGTGTGGTATAGGGGTGGGTCTGAGACAAGGCTTTCACGGATAAGTGACCAAAAAAATCACGTTAGGACATAATTACGATTATTAGCTAAGCTTATTTTTTTTAGCTTATATTAAGCTTATTTTGCTCCATAATCCCCCCCCCCCACAGGCTACGACCCTGCAACCGATGACAGGCCGACCGCCGAGTGAGAAGCCAGGTGGAGCTCGCGTCGTTTGTCGTACAAGTTTTACTAAAATTGGAGAAAAAAGGCTATATCTGGAGTAAGATTACATTTTATTTTTATTCTGACATTGCCTGCGTGTGATGTGGCCAGCTTACATTGCGACTGAAGAGTTTGGTGTGGAAACTTTTCTAACAGCCAAGAAAGCAGCTCATGTGGCTTGGAAGTTGGAATAAAATTACAAATTGAGGAAAAAGAATCTTACCTAGCGAACGCTGTCTATATTGTTCAACATTAATATGTGATAAAGAGAAACCACTAGAAACAGGGTCAGAATCGCAGAGCTAGGTCAAACACTGCCGGCTAAATGCTACTCAGTTTTCAAAACCCGAACCTGTTTTGCCTATTGACATAGCCTAGATCATACTTGAGCTCAATTAAAATCAAGTTTGACAATTTTCTTACCGCGCGTGTATGTACATGTACACAGCTTTTGACTGGTCTGACTTTCCAGACAGGCATACAAATAAATAAATTAATTAATTAATATGTAATTATATAATATAAATATATTATATTAAAAATATATCTCTACCGATAGTAATAATATACATTTTGTTGTGTCTATATAAACTTCTCAGTGAAGATTGCCAACATGAATATACGTTCTTGTTCTTTTGAAAGACATCATTATTATTTGCACAACTATGTAATCTACACCCGAATATCTATATAATCATATATATATATATATATATATATATATATATATATATATATATATATATATATATATAGTACGTACGTACGACGTACGACGACGACACAGACGAGAGAGAGGAGGAACGGGGCGGGAGAGAGAGAGTAGTAAGTAACTACTTACTACTA